AACTTATTTCGTTTACTAAACACAAATTTCCTGTTTTACATCTTAATCCTCTTTTTTTGCTTAAGAGCTTTTGTGATCCTTTCACCATCTGATGCATTTTGTCTATTCGTTCGATTTTTGAGACAAATGTAAACGCGCTACCCACATACGTATCGCAGCACATGCGTAATTCGTTGGGGTCATGTGGATTCGTAACATTTTATAAGTATTTTCATAGCGTATTTCGTACACACGTCTCGAAAAGTTCTCGTAACAAGACATTGGTTATGAATTCACCATCTATTCTTACAGCTCTATCCTATGCGATATGCTCGGTTGGTTCACTTCGTTCCGTGAGCATGGAGCGCCCACCTTCTACGGAGAAAATCGAACACCAGTCACAATTGGTCAGTTTATCTGGGTTGTGCAATTTGCAACACGCTATTCATTTTCAGCTTCCTAATATTTGTTTTTTTCCAGACACCCATATAGTGGGCCTTTTTTCAATCTTTTTGGTGCCAGCCATCACATTCCTCATAATTTTACCCGGAGTTCGGAAACATCGTCTTTCGTCCACGTTTTCATTCCTATTCAATATGTACGTCGGAGCAACGTTGCTAGGTAATGTAGTTATCAATAAGTTATTTAGCTGTTATCCTGACCGTAATCTCAAAATTCTCAACTGACAAGTAGAGACTTTGCTATGCGCAAATAATTTCTATTCAAGTGGCGCACAAATTTCATACCACTTTCCCAATTTTTTGGTCGAAGTTACATTTTCTTTCAATATAATCAGCAATACGAAAATGTAAATCAACGTTGTCGACAGCGCATTGCCAAGCCTTACTACAGATATGATGCCTCTATGTAAAAATTGATCGGCACCGCTTCTCGATCTATCCATTACCTTTTTTAAATCGAACCTTGAACTTGGAGGCAAAATTCGGTCTTGCCACAAAAGACATCGGGGAGGCCTATTGCATGCAAATGTTCTTCTGTGATATAGCTTTTGCCGTTCTTGAATTCCTAGCAGAAGCTGTTAAACATGCCTGGCATCGAGAACGGTTTTTTTTCAGTCAAAATATTAGCGGAACGTTAAGAAGAATCTGGTTTAGTAGACTAATGGTTAAGCTTCATAGACGTTTTTAACAGAAATTCAGAATTAATCAAAAATTGACAAGGTACCAAAATATACGCAGAAAATTTATGCGGCAAAATAATCAAACACTTGCAGTATCTTTGTACCACCCATGCTGGCACCGTGCGGAAACGCCCATATCTACTTCTTACAAAGCATTCTCAAATGCTAAAATGGATGCACATATACTGGTTCGCGTTGGACTACAGTACTTGAATATCTCGCTAAGCAGTAAGTTGATTTAATCATTGTATGAAAGAAAATGAAAGAGAAAAAAGAAGCAGCACATTGATACTTGTTCGAACATATATTTTTTGGCATAGCTTTGATGCTTAACGCTTACTACTTAATTTCTGATATAATCATCCCAGCATGACAGCAAAAATGCACAAAGACACACAGAAAGAGTAGAATTATGGGTCTTTGCATTTGGTTAACAGGATAATTTTGCGCGGTTTTTCTCGAGTTCATAAAAGACTGTAGTCGTGGCACAGGTCTATGCATTGATGGAAAGAGGATCACTGCTTCACAAATGGTCTTACTTACAAAAGCTGACATGTATTGATTTAATTGAAAATCATTGAAGTGGAACTAGAGAACATGAAAAGATAGACGAATTTGCATTTCTGAAAATACGTTTTGCTGCAGCTCCATTTGTAAGATAAATTGATGTGCTAATTACGAAGGTATCCATCTAGTGGGGCTCTGCTATGGGCTTTGTTCTCCCTCAGGCAGATCAATGATTTTGATATTGCTCTATCTGTCTATTGTAGTGTGCCAGTAAGACCTTCTTTTGCAGAGTGTAAATCATTTCGTAGTATGATGCTGATACCATTGATTACCATATAACCATTTTATATGATGATATCGTTTTGCAAGATAAGCACAAAGCACGCTTCTCCCTCAGGCAGATCAATGATTTTGATATTGCTCTATCTGTCTACTGTAGTGTGCCAGTAAGACCTTCTTGTGCAGAGTGTATATCATTTCGTAATTTGTATGTTTAGTACTCCACTAGACCAATTTCAAGCCAAATTTAAGATTTTACCCCTCTATTGTCTTGCCATAATCCACCTGCGCGGAGTGTATACGATATTTCATCAGCATGTGTATAACTCCAATGGTTGGAAAGTCAAAGAGTGCAATAATCCAGGGTTCCGAAAAGAGAAGTTGTTGAGTATTTTTTCTTCTAAACTTCCAATTCAATGATTACTATGTAAACTAGAACTATGTAGGTAGTACCAAGAAAAACATCTTGTAGAGCGTAATTTTTCTCAAATCTATGGTGAGACCCTGTAAAGCTTTTGTTGTTG